GGCGGGGCGCGCGCGGACCTGGCCCGGGAGGCGGCGGCGCAGGGGGACGTGGTGCAGGCCGCCTTCCGCGACACCTACCGCAACCTCACCCTCAAGACCCTGGTGGGGCTGAGCTGGGCCAGCGCGCACTGCCCCCAGGCCCGCTACGTGCTCAAGACGGACGACGACGTGTACGTCAACGTCCCCGAGCTGGTGTCCGAGCTGGTGCGGCGCGGGGGCGCCGCGGGGGGCACGCCGGTGCCGCTGCTCTACCTAGGCCGCGTGCACTGGTGGGTGAGGCCCTCGCGGGCGCCGGGAGGCCGGCACCTGGTGTCCGAGGAGCAGTGGCCCGCGACCTGGGGCCCCTTTCCGCCCTACGCCTCGGGCACGGGCTACGTGCTGTCCGCGTCCGCCGTGCAGCTCATCCTGAAGGTGGCCGCGCAGGCGCCCGCGCTGCCGCTGGAGGACGTCTTCGTGGGCGTGAGCGCGCGGCGGGGCGGCCTGGCCCCCACCCACTGCGTCAGGCTGGCCGGTGCCACCCACTACCCCCTGGACCGCTGCTGCTACGGGAAGTTCCTGCTGACCTCGCACGGCCTGGACCCCGGGCAGCTGCGGGAAGCCTGGGAGCTGGTGCACGGGCCGGAGCCCGGCCGGACCCGCCCCTTCTGCTCCTGGCTGCAGGGGGCCCTGGGCATCCTGCGGTGTCGGCTCATGGCCTGGCTGAGGAGCTGAGACCGGGACCCCGGGAGGAGCTGCGGGTCCAGCCAGCACCCGCAGGCCTTGTCTCCCCCAGGCCCTGGGCAGGGGCCCTAACTGGCTACAGCTGAGCCCGTCTGTCACCAAAGACCCACACAGGAGAATGAAGCGGCCTGGCTGCCCACCCCGAAGACGGGACTCCAGGAAGAAACGCTGTTCCCTCCGGCCAGGGGAAGGAGGACATGAACCCCTCAATAAACCTGTTTCTCCAACTGCAGTGTGTCTTCCCCGGACTCCTAGGGGCTGCGAGTGGGCTGGCGGGGAAGGATGGCCCCAGGGCCGTGGGACAGGGGACAGCCTCTCTGTGGATTAGACCCTGACAGGCCAGGCTAAGGCCACAGGACCACAGGGGACAGGAAGGAGTGGGGGCGGGACACTGACCCTCCGCCAGGACCCCCCGCCACTGGCATGGGGGACAAGGGCACACGTCCACAGTATCCAAAAACGTTTCTTTAATACCAACCCACCCGGAGAGCCCGCTGCCCCACTCGGGAAAGGGCGCTGTCCTGTCCTGCCAGGGCACAGTCATTTCCCTGCAGGTGCCCCGAGGCATGGGCATTGTTCCCAGGCCACCCTGGAGCCTGGCTCAGCGAACAAATCTGTCCAGGGCAGACGGCCGTGCCCCTGTGGGCTTGGCCTTTTGCTTCTGCTTCTGCTTCTGCTGCTCCTCAAGGCTCTGCCGGACTTTGTCCTGGGGACAGGGGAGAGGGAGGACACGGGGCAAGGTGAGCAGTGACAGCCAAAAAAAAACAAAACAGTGCAGCCCAGACGCGGGCCCAGCCCACGCGGGCCTCACCCTGTGCTCCTGCGCCAGGACCTTCTTCTTCCTCTTCACCAGGCTGCCGGTGGAGCTGCGGCCTTTCTGCTTTGCCTTTGGCTGGAAGGGCGCCTTGGCCTCGGGGTCGTAGCCCTGAGGAGGGGACAGGTGTGGAATCGGTAAGGGCCTGAGAGGCAGCACCCACCCTCTGAAGCCAGGCGCAGGGTGGGGAAGACGGCGGGCACAGGTGCCTGGGTGCTCAGCCGCTCGTACCAGCCTCTCTACGCGCTCCTTCTTGTGCTGCTCCAAAGAGATTACGTCAACCTCTGCCAAGGCCCTGGGGTTCAGGCAAATGAGCTCAGCAGGCACCTAAGGATGTCACAGGGGAACAGCAATGGGCCAGAAGCCAGGGAGGCTGCTGAACCCCTTTCCAAGCCCCATACACAGGAGCACTGGGGAGCTGCGCCCCCAGAGAGCACATGCGGACCCCTGGCCCCGCAGGAAGCTCACCTTCTCCAGCAGGGCTTTCACCTCCCACTCCTGCCGCTGCTTCCGGCTCCGGTAGGGGTTGCTCTCCAGGCCATCAAAGTTGGGCTCAGAGGCCCCTGAGGGCAGAATGGAGAGCCATGCCCAAGGGCCCACCCGAAGCTGCAGCCTCAGGTGGCCAAGGGCTTGCCCGTCCCCACTGTCCCAAACGGGACCGGTTCACACACTGCCCACCCTACCCCGAACTGCTCACCCGGGACCAGCATGCTAGTGATGCCGCCACTGTGCCCGACCCCCAGCACGTCCTCAAAGGGGCAGAACTGCAGCCCATGCACAGGGCCGGCCAGCCGGTGGGTAAGGTAGGGCTGCTCCAGGGAGGGCAGGCTGGCCTTGCCCTGCCCTGCCCATATGTTCACCACGTCACCCATGCCTGCAGCCAACAGGCCCCGCTGGGAAAAGGCCAGGTGCCCTGCTCCCTGGGGCAGTGTCCGAGCGCTCAGAGGCTGGAATGTCCCTCGCAGGTCGAAGACCTTCAGTTGGTGGTCCAGGCCAGAGGTGGCCATGTACCTGCAGTAGATAGGGGATCAGTGCATCTGTCCACACGGGTTTACTGACGCCATGGCCAAGCCTGTGTCAGTCTCAACAGGGAGGGAGCAAGCATTCCCACCATACGACACTCTGCTAAGCACCATGAGACTTCGGATTGTTTTACGTTCCTTTCACAGATGAGACCGAGGCCCACAGAAAGGACATCAGGTTGGTGAAGGCGGAGCTAGAAGTCAGGCCAGTTTCTTCAGAGTCCGCCCTGCTACCTCTCAGACCTGAGCGTGGCTCTAAGGGAGAACACATGCCAGCCCGAAAGCTGTCCCGCCGCAGACAGGCAGCAGAGCAGAAGCAGCTGTGGCGGGCAGGACACTTCCCAGAAGGATGGGCTCTGCGCCTGCAGGCTAACTCTCAAGAAAGCATGAGAAACAGAGTGGGTCCAGACGCCTTAAAACCAGAGAGCAGACACAGAGAAGAAACACGGCAAGCGGAATTAGGGGGCCAACTGCAGTGTTTCGGGGCCAGGCTGAAGACCCACGCTTATTACCCCTACATGAACTGGCAGGGACAAATCACAGGCTGAAGACCACACGAACGTGAGGAAGTAGCAGAATGATACACTGGAAGGCCTGTCTCAAAATAAATTTTAAAAGGGCCGAGGAGATGTAGCTCAGTGCAAAAGCCACAGACTCAATCTGTAGTACCACAACACACACACACACACACACACACACACACACACGGAGGAAGGGCAAGGCTGGAAAGCTGGTGACCAAATCAAGAAGTCTTACACTGCCTAAATTTTTTACTTCCCCCTGCCTCAGCCTCCCAGAATGCTAGGACTATAGGGACAATGGACTCTGCTTGGCCTTGCTGGTGAATCCCAGCAGGGGTGGAGTCAGAGAGCTCCTCTGAGACAAACTTGTCCTGTGATGGAGCCCACACAGGCCCAGCTAGATACGTCTCCTGACAAGAAAACGAGTAAAATGGCCACAGGGACAATAAGGAATGACCAGCAGCTCAACTCAGGAGCAGAAGCAGGTTCTTCTCCCCATCACACACCCACCTGTGGGACGCCCTGGGGAATCACCAGCTCAGTGGCAGACCAGAGCCTGGCCTTCACACTGAGCCATTTCCTCAGCCTTTTTAATTTATTTTTTAAACTTTGAGACAGGGTTTTGCTAAGTAGCTAAGCTGCCCAGGCTGGGCTCAAATTTGCCATCTGCCTGCCTCAGCCTCCCAGGAGTTTTGGGATTGTAGGTGTGTACCATCACACATAGTTTAGCCAATCTACTCTTAATGCCGGTGTCCAGAAAACCTCTTGAAAAAGTCACCTTCATCTCTGGAGCCCTATGGCCTGTGAAGAGATCCCGAGAGGGACCAGAGATAAGCAGGAACGATCCTAAGACCAATGACCAAGATCAAGGACTGGAGTGTAGTCAGAGGTACCCGGGAGAGCTGGAGCTTGGAACCTGGCTGTATCCCTCCTGCCCGGGGAGAGGACAGGAAGAAGGGCAGGCAGGGACAGGGTCAGAGAAGTGGTCACATAAGGCACCAAAGTGGCAGAGCCTGCAGACCCAGGAAGCACTCAACAAACAGTGCTTTTGGATTCCTGCAGTTACTGGCAGCAGAAGTTGGGGCTGCGTGCCTGGAGGGGAGCCAAAGAATTCAAACCCTGGCTGACAGGGAAGACATGGGGGAGCGGGACAAGGAAGGAAAACATGGGTTTTTTTTGTTTTTCTTTTTTTTGATTTTTTGAGACAAGGTCTCACTATGCTGGCTAGGCAGGCCTTGAACTCACTATGTAGCCCAGGCTGACCTCAAACTCACAGCAATCCTCCTGCCTCAGCCTCCCAAGTGCTGGGATTACAGGCATACACTACCACACCCAGCAAAAATGGAGAAACTTTGAGGGTAAAGAGACACATTACATCTGGGACAGCAGATGACAACTGAGTAAAGACTACGTGCACTGCCTGGCCAAGCACTCCCATCAGCTCCGCCTAGCACTGCAGGGCAGCCCCAGTGATTCATGCCCATAGCCTGAGACGCTCAGCACAGCACAGCCCGCAGCAGTGCCCTGTGAATGCCCGGAGGATGAAAGGAGTCAGAGGAAAACAGAAATCAGAGACAAGAACCATGGAAAACACAGACTCTCAGGAAGAGTGGAAGAACAGAGACCTCCTCCTTCTCCTCCGCCCTCAGATCGCTGGTTAGATCTGGAGTGGGTGATCACTTCAGGAGGAGGAGGTGAGCACAGCGCTATCTGCTGGGCTCTGCGCTAAAGGATTCACGTGCCATCACTCGCTCTAGTGTCCACACCACGTTCATGAAGGCTTTGAACAAGGACTTAGCCAACTGCCGGCCATGGCCACATCTGGGCCACCGTCTATTTCTATACATGTCCCAAGGAAAGAATGACTTCTACCTTTTCATGTGATTAAAGAATCAGAAGCTGGGGGTGATGCTGCACACCTGTAATCCCAGCACTCAGAAGGCTGAAGCAGGAGGGCCTCGACAAGTTCAAGGCCAGTCTGAATTACACAGCAAGACTCTGACTCAAAAAAAAAGAAAAAAAGTTTTGTCATTCAAAAATCTGCGATAAGGAGCTGGGGATTTAGCTCAGCCAGCGGCATAGCGCCTGTCCGGCAAGCGCAAGGTCGTGAGTTCAATCCCCAGTACTGGAAAAAAAACTAAAAAAAAAAAAAAAAAAAAGAATCTGTGATAGGTCTTTTTCTTACTATTTAAGGCCCTCCACAATACCTTTGATTTTCTTCCTGCCATGCAAAACCTAAAATCCTTACTCTGTGGCTCTGTGGAGAAACAGTTCACTGACTCTGAACTAGACTCATATCCCTGTTCTCAATCTTTTTTTTTGAGACGGTCTCCCTGTGCAGTTCAGGCTGGTATTGAGCTCACTTTGTAGCCCAGGCTGGTCTCAAACTTGCACAGATCCTCCTGCCTCAGCCTCCCAAGTGCTGGGATTACAGGCGTGCGCCACCACACCTGGATTTCCCCGTTCTCAAAACCAGGGCCCTGGCACGCAGCAGTTACACACTGTGCCCACACTCACAGGAACCGACACCCAGGCTGCAGGACCTGCACCCCAGGTGACAGGCTGCTTTGCAGACCTCTCTGCAGCTGTGACCCCCCAAGTCTCATCCCACACAATGACTTACGTGCCTGTACAATCCACTGCCACAGCCTGAATACCACCACGGTGACAGAGAATCTTTGCCAGTGGCTCCTGCACAGATGGGCTCCATAAAGAGACCGTACCTAGAAATAAGAAGAAAACAAGTTACTAAAATAAACCCAACCCTGACACGATTAAACCTGGGAAAGGTGGGGACTTGAGACCAAGAAGTAGGAAGTTGGAGAAGTAAAAAGGTAACTTTAAAGGACTAGTGAAATACAAGTACAGAACAGAAGCAGGACAGGATGGTCAGAGAATCAAGCTAAGCCAAAAGCTAGGTATGGGGGGCATATCCCTGTAGCCCCAGCTACCCAGCAGGCTGAGGCAGGAGGATCACTTGAGCCCAGGAGCTTGACATCAGCCTAGGGAACACAGAGAAAGCCAGCTTCCAAAAAAAAAAAAAGCTAAGCCCAAGACTGACCATTGCTATGTCCAAGGTGGATGACAGCGTTGTAAGGGTTCTGAGCCATGACATTGAGCCGTCCAGCCCGAATATTCAGAGCTGCCACGATCTTCCCCACTGACACATCCAGGTAGGTCAGAAACCCTGTCTCTGACTGGGAGAACAAGAGAGAACCACCGAGTCCTGAGTGCCATCTGTGGCCCCTCTTCTGAGGTCTCAGAGGAAAAAGACCTTCCCAAGGCTCCACCGCCACTCACAGCTGTGGCCAGGAGGAAGTGGAAGGGCAGGAACTCGAGCCGCGTTACTCGGTCACAGCGGCGGATGCAGTGGAGCTCTATGCCCTGGTTGTCATAGATGTGAAGCCAGCGGTTCTGAGCCACGGCAAGCAGTGCCTCCGAGTGGAGAAACCTGGGGAAAGGGTAGCTCCATGGGCTATGGGGTCACAGGCTGTCATTCAATCAGGAATGGCTGGTGTCACCAGCACCACTACCAACGTCAACCAAGGGAGAGGACACTCACCGGATGTCCCGCACAGCCTCCATGACGTTGATCTCACACATGAGCTTCTTTGTCACCCAGTCGAAGGCAGCCACATGGCCCCGACGCCCTCCGAAAGCCAGATGTCTGTTGGAGGAAAGACAGGGTGTCAGGCAGGGAGCACCCAGACTCAGATACTTCGAGGTGTGCTCCCTGCCACCTCCTCCTCTGCAGGTGACAGGAGACGTGTTCCTGTGGATGCTCCTCATCAACACCCAAACACACAGCACAGCCAAGAGCAGGGCTGGCACAGCGGAGGAAATACACCCACCTCTCAGTTCAGGGGTTACTGGAGCTGGGCATGGGGGAATACACCTGTAATCCTAATCCTCAGGGAGGCTGAGGCAGGAGCATTACAAATTCCAGCCCCAGCCAGGGCAACTTTGCAACTTAGCCAGACCCTGTCTCAAAATTAAAAATTAAAGAGAGAGCTGGGAATGCAACTCAGTATGAAGGTTTCAATCCCCAGGGCCACAAAAGTAAAGAGCAAAAGTACGAAAGAAAGAAAATGAAAATAAAAAAGATAAAGTGTCACTGCAGGCAGAGCACATGTTCAGTATACACAAGGCCCTGGGTTTAATCCCCTCATACACAGTGACAGGAATCCAACCTTACCTCCCAGTTCGAGAGTAGTTCAACCTGTAGGGGCCAAACTGCCGCAGATTCAAGTCAAAGTGCTGGGTAAGAGAAGAGTGGGGAAAAAAATCAAGAAACGATGGGCTTCCCTCAGTGAGTCCCTCGGCAAGTCCCCACGCTCGCTTGCCGGGGCATCGCTAATGAGCCGGGCAGCCCCTTCCCTCCTCAGCCTCACCTTGGCTGCACTCGCAATGTCCACAGCCTCCACGATGTCCGCCTGGCGGATCTTGGCTGTGTCTTCCCCGTCCTCCCCTTCCAGAAACCTGAAAGGGAGGGTCAGCACTGCAGTAGTTTCCCACTATCAAGCGGGTGCAGCAAAATAAAAAGGAGACCTGTAAAGCAGGAGCTGCGGGGTGCTGAGATTGGGGTTCCACTCACCCAGGCTCCTCAGCAAGCAGCAGCTCAGAACGCGCAGCTTTGACGCTTATCTCTTCTTCCAAGGCTTCAGCCACCTCAAGTTTGCTTCGGGTTTTGGGCAGAGAATGTGGTAGCTATAACATTGTTGGTGAGAAAAGGTAAAATACCAGAGAATATGTGCAGTGACAGTACAGCCACCTGGGGCAGCCTCCACCCAATCTTCCCAGACTCTCCCTCTATCTCCACCCTGTCCACTGTCCCGCTGGTCCTCACCTCCTTGGATTTGTCAATACGACGGAACTTCCGGGCCACTTCCAGAGGCACAGGGGCGGGGCCTGGAAATGGGTCTTGGGCCTGGGGCAGGGGAGACAGTTAGCAGACATGCTCTGGTTGACCCCAAATCACTACACAAGGCTCCCTGCCTGCCACCCAATCAGGACCCAGATCACCCCAGACAAGGTCCGCTGGGGCCCCGGCTTCTTCTGTTCTCGGGACTTCTTCCTGAACTGGGATTTCTTAGAGATCCGAGACTTCTTGGAGTTGTGAGAGTTCTTCTGCTTTTGGCGGCGGACCTCCAGATTCTTCTTCTTCTTCTTCTTGCGAGGCGGGCCTGGAGAGGCCCCGGCAACGGCAGGAGCGGTCTCTTCCTCCCAGTATCGCCGCGGCTTCTACAGGCAGATCAAAAGCCCTGATACTCCGCACCCCGACCCGACGGCTAAAACCTTGCTTCCCATCCAGGGCCTCTACCTTCCGCTTGGCCTGAAGTTTGTCCTTCTTGGGCGGGACACCCCTGCCCGGCCTAGGAACCGTCTCCATCTCGCCCACCCGAACAACAATCCACGTGCAAAAACTCTCAGCTGTCGCACAGTCCGCTTGGAAATTTCCGGAAGTCCTCTGGGCTTCATCCAATCAACGCCGTACCAGGTCTGAAGCCTTTCTGCGCCATCTTGACTGAGGGCACGTCCTCCCCTGAGGGCAAGGATAGGCTCTCCCTAACAGAGCTTACGCCAGAATAATGAAAAAAGGCAAGTCTCGAGCCAAGGTCCAATTAACATTGCATTTTCTTTTTCTGAGTTAGCTCTCCCATTTTGCCCAAAACCTTCTGAATCCGATCTTTCAAACAAAATGCCCCTCATTAAACCTTTGAGAACTACATTTCCCAGAATATAGCCGACGGCAGCTTCCGGTACTATGTTTTCCCAGAATTCCTTGTTACTTCCGGGTTTCTTAATACTGCAAGGAGAACGCGAGTAGATTAGGGTTTCTGTTGAGGGGCTTGAGATCTCGTTTTGTCCTCCATTCCCGAAGCCGACATAGAGTTGATATCCGGGACGAGGAAAAGCTGCAGTGTCCCGAGAAGCTGCCTCTCAAGAGTGCTGTCATTTTCGCAGGCCGGGCCATAAAGGTGAGCTAGACTATCTTCCAGAGTCTGAGACTCAGAGCCCCTTCCTCCCCGCAGGCTTTTATCCTCGCCATGGCTGAACTGATCCAAAAGAAGCTGCAGGGAGAAGTGGAGAAATATCAACAGTTACAGAAAGGTAAGGGAGCAGGGTCGGTGTGGCCTCGCCGCAATGCACTCACAACCCAAAGCCGTGTCAAGATAAGGTTCACTGTCCCGTCTGGACCCCGCGTACAGTGCCTCCCTTCTCAGTATTCTCCCCTGCCCGCTGGTCCCATTCTTGTCCGCGTCCATTTCCTCCCGAGTACGATGGGGGCGGGGGCGGGGGCGGGGACACACTTGATGTTTCTAATCGTGCCGCCCCCCCCCCTTTAGATTTGAGTAAATCCATGTCCGGGAGGCAGAAGCTTGAGGCACAACTAACGGAAAATAATATCGTGAAGGAGGTGAGGGACTGGGATCTAGGGGTGAGGCGGGACTTACAACAGCCGTGCTTCTGATCATATTTGTCCCATCCCTCCTCCGTCAGGAACTGGCCCTGCTGGATGGGTCCAACGTGGTCTTTAAACTTCTGGGTCCCGTGCTGGTCAAACAGGAGCTGGGGGAGGCTCGGGCCACGGTGGGGAAGAGGCTGGACTACATCACAGCCGAAATGTGAGTGCTGAGTGCTGGATAGCCGCTTTGAACAGTCCATCCAGTGCCCCCAGCTCCTTCCTTCCCTTCCAACCCACCCTTCTCCCTCCTTCGGATCTCGTTTCCCACCAATCTCTTGCCCTCAGCACCCTCAATAGGAAGCCCCACTAATTTCTCCTCTTCTGCTGCTTTGTCTCCCTTGCCTCTCCTCAGTAAGCGGTACGAATCCCAGCTCCGGGACCTGGAGCGGCAGTCAGAGCAGCAGAGGGAGACCCTTGCACAGCTACAGCAGGAGTTCCGGCGGGCCCAGGCCGCCAAGGCAGGGACTCCGGGGGAGGCCTGACCCCCATGGTGGGGGGCGGGGCGGGGCGGGGCAGCAGTGAGGCCGCTGGAGGGTCTGTACTGTAGGAGGTAATAAAATGTAAACATGTCTGGCTCTGGTTTTCTAGTGGCCACTTGTCACTCACCCAGCGCCTTCCACCTTACACTTACACTGCCGGCCTTCCTCCTTCAGGTCCAGATTCTTAGGACCAGAGCCCTGAGGCAGGTTCAAGCCTTTCTTGGTTTTGTTGTTGTTGATTTTAAAAATTCTTACTAGTGCGTGTTTGTAGTTGACAAGGGTTACATTCATTGTAGGAGTTGATGTGTGTACTTAAGACATCTTAATTCTTTTTGCTTTCCCTTTCCTTCCTTGAGTCTTTTCTTGAAACTAAAGCCTGAAATGTTTCAACCCTTCTTCTTTCTATATATAGTCCTATACACTCGCTTATCTTGGTTATGTGACTCTTTAAGAAGCATGAGAACATTTACACTATGTTGGGAGGGCTGCTTTAAAGAACCACAGTTCTCTAATGTGAGACCCCAGGATGAAATAGGGGTATTTACCCCGCTTGCTGTGAGTACTTGTCAGCCTCCAAACAGCCCTGGCATCTCTTTTAGTTTTGGGGGGTTTTTGTTGTTGCTGTTTTTGAGACAGGGTCTTACTTTGTATTGCAGACTAGACTTGAACTCAGTACGGAGCTCAGGCTGGCCTCCAACTTGAAGTGATCCTCCAGCCTCAGCCTCCTGAGTGCTAGGACTACAGGCATGTGCTGTGACACCCAGCTTAAGTTTTTTCAGCCTGTTTTCCTACACTTTGCTTGAATATAATTTAACCTGATTTAAAATCTCCAAATTTATGTATGTTGTCCACAACATCATCTTTTTTGTTTCTTTTGTTCTTTTGAGATAGGGTCTCACTATGTAGTTCAGGCTGCCCCAAACTCAAGAGAACCTCTTGCCTCAGCCTCCTGAGTGCTGGGATTACAGGCACCATGCTTGGCATTTTTCTATCCTAAAATTCTTTCATAATTCTCCTCAGAGCAGTTCTTCATACTGATCAATTTAAAGCTACTGCTTCACATAGGTTACAAGTACAGAGAAAAACTTAAGAGTAAATAGAATAAAAAGAATAAATAGAACAAAATTGAGATTACTGAAGAGGAATAAAGTTCCATGCACCTTTCTTTTGGCCCCTCCTGGAAGGAGAAAACATTGTAGCCCACTGTACCCCATGGCTTCAACCTTCAGCCACCTCCCCACACCCACTCCCAGGAGCAAAGACAGGGGAGGAAGACTCAGGTAGTGTTTTGGTTTATTACCTTAGTGTTGTCACAGTGACAGGAACCCCCCGGAGTGGGCAAGGAGCTTCCTGCCCTCCCCCTCTGCCCTGGGGCTCAGCACCTCGAGGCCATCCCTTGGCCCTGTCCATGCCGGGGTGTGGCAGGACCCAGAAACGAGTCTACCCAGCACGAGCCAGGTGCACGTGCCTCATGAGACGTGGGGAGCTGTACACAGATCTCCAACGCAGTTTCAAGATTCCCAGCTCCCCCGAAGCTGGATTCCTTGGTGGTCTGGTAAACAAGTGGCACCTCACCGCCCCAGGTGGCCGATCACCTTGTGGGATTTCTGTCCAGTGTGATGTAACGGCCGCCGTTCACGCTGGCCACCCACAACTGCTATGAGCACCATGACCAACAGGCCTTCCTCCTCAGAACAGTGCCCGCGCGATCTTCCTCCCTGTGGCCTTGATCCTGGGAAAGGAGCCCCCTCCTCCCTCGCTCGGGGGAGTTCCTGAGGCAGAGGGGCCGCTGGCAGAGCCCCGTGTGGCCACCGAGGGCCTTCGCCGCCGCCGAAGGAGGAAATCATGGGACACCCCGTCCATGGCATAGAAGACGTTGGCAGAGGGCGGGATGGTCAGCTCTGTAGGATGACAGGGGAGTTCACACACGGTCACTGCCCCCACAGTCGTGTGAACATGGAGCACCCCACTGCTGGGCACAGCCCCTCCAGCCTGCCTTCCCTCCTGGCTTCTGACCTCGCTCCCCCGGTAGCAGCTGGACCAGCTCAAAATCTGAAGCCACCGAAGAATCACGATTGTTTTTCTTAAGGACACGACTGATAACACTTGGAGCTTTGTCCTGGCTCGTCACCTGGAAGGACAGGAGAGCAAACGAGCAGTAACTCAGCCACAACCGCCTCTGCTTCCCATCCTCCCAACCTCAGCCACCTGCCCCATCAAGTCGGGTTACCCGCAGCCAATGCTGTAAAATGAGCCATCTGGGCTTCCTGTACCCCAGAGCCAGCCCACAGGGTGCTCATAAATCAGGGCTGATTCTCTGCTGTTGGTTCTAGAAATCTAACACGACCCCCAAAAGTTCCAGGTGCAGCTCCTAATGCACAGCAGCCATCAAAATAAAACGTAAGTGCCCAAGCCAGTGGTTGGAATTAAACTAGCATCGATTCCACTTGGCCGCCCGCCCCCAAGACCACGGTTACCGTCCAGCAAGGCCCGGGGCCCTCACCAAGATGCTCTTGTAGACGCTGCCGTCCTCCCCCAGCTCCATCTGCACCCGGATGATTCGGCAGTCAGAGGCCCCTGGCCCAGATGCCCCTGCCCCAGACCCCGTCCCCAGGGAGACCCCTTCCCCCGGGGTCCCACTCAGTGGGGAGCCACAGGAGGCGGAGCGGCGGTGACCTCGGTTAGGCCTGGGGGAGGAGGCTGGGGGAGACAGGTGGCGGGGGTCGGCCGGACTGTGCAAGGAGGGGCTGCCCTCCAGGGCAGAGTCCAGAGATGAGACCGACGGCCACTTCATGTGCTAGGGACAAACAACACAGGGCGGGCATGAAGGTGGCGAAGTCACGAACTGTGCACAGGGTCAAGGTCAGTGCTGAGGTCAGAGGTCAAGCACAGCGCTCACCTGGGCCAGCCGGGTCAGCAGAGGCGCAGGGGTTCCGGACACCTCATCTCCCCCCACACTGGGCTGGTCCCAGGACACAAGGTGGGTGGGCCCCCCAACGGAGCTGAGCACCCTGGAGTAGCAGGAGAGGGGGAGTTTTAGGGGACAAGTGGCAGGTCCCCAAGAAGCCTCCCCCAGCTGAAGACTCACTCTGTCCACTGTGAGATGACCAGCGTTGGCCGGAGCACCCGTGGGGCTGGGGAGTCACTGGTACCAGGCGGCTCCACCTCACAGGACACGCGGTGGCTGGGAGGAGGCAGGGGACAGTGGTCAGGATGGGCACGCCAGTCAGAGCCCCAGTCCCAACCTCACACAGCCGGTCACCTCTGAGCCTCAGTCAGCGGCCGGAGCCCTTGGAGCCACTGCTGGATGTCAGGGTCAGGTCGCAGGTCATAGCCACGACATTCGTTCTGCAGCCGCCGCAGCTCGGAAAGGACAGCAAATTCCTGGGAAGGAGCCCTCAAACTGCAGGAGCCACAATTCAGGGACCCCCAGCCTTCCCGCCATCTCCCCTTCCTGAGACGCGACGTGATGTCCAGCACCCGCCCCTCACCTTCCTCCGTTTGTCAAAGTTGATGTAGCCATTCTGCAAGGACAGCAGGACAGGAGTGAGGTCCCAAAGCCAGCTTCCGGTGGCCACACCCCTCCAAGCCACAGCCCACTCGAACCCCGCCCCTCCGGCTTCCACAACTCCATCCCCCTCACCCAGGCTTCTGCACCTGATCCTTTAAATTAGTGCCTCAGAAGTATGTGTTTTTTGACGTTGCTGCTGCTGCTGCTACTGCTCGCGATCTAACCCAGGGCCTCATACATGGAAGGCAGGTGCTCTACCAGAGCTATGCCCTAGGGCCTTACTATTTGTTTTTTTATGTTTTTTTGTTTGTTTGTTTTGTTTTGTTTTGTTTTGTTTTTCTCCGGTACCGGAACCGAACTCATGACCTTGCACTTGCCAGGCAGGCGCTTTTGCCGCTGAGCTAAATCCCCAGCCCCTGTTTTTATATGTTTGTTGTTATTGTTTGTTGGTTGGCTGGTTTTGTGTTTTATTTTGTTCTGTTTTTGAGAAATGGTCTTAGCAGGGTGTGGTGGCGCACGTCTGTAATCCCAGCACTCAGGAGGCTGAGGCAGGAGGATCGCCATGAGTTTAAGGCCAGGCGGAAGGAGGCTGAGGCAGGAAGATTGTTGTGAGTTCAAGACCAGCCTGGGCTACAAAGTGAGCTTAAGGCCAGCCTGAACTCCATAGCAAGACCCTGTCTCAAATAGACAAAAAAAAAAAAAAAAAAAAAAAAAAAAAAAGGGGCCTGTGTGGTCTAGGCTGGTCTTGAACTCACTATATAGCCCAGGTTGACCTGGAACTCTCCTTGATCTTCCTGCCTCAGCCTCCTGAGGGCTGGGATTATAACATATGTCACCATGCCAAGCCATTTCTCACAAACCATATATGCATACCTTTCAGGAATATTCTAATATTCTAAGCACTCCACAAACATGAATCCATTTAAGCCTCATAATAACAGATGTAAGCATCACTGCCAGCTGCCCATTCACAGACCACCAAGGCCCAAAGAACCTAAGCAACTGGCCCCAGGGTCAGAACCAGAACCCGAGGGAAGTCTGGAAGCTGAAGTTTAGACACACACACACACATACGCCACTGACCTCCAGCTCATCCTTGGAGGCTGCGTCCAGCATCACCAGGTCTTTGAGGAAGGTGCCGAGGTAGGGGACCACTCCCTGGGGCAGAGGGAGCCTCAGGCGCTGCCCCCCGGCCCCAGGACCTCCATTCCCTCCCAGCCATGGGGCCCTTTCTTGGCTTCACCCCCAGACTGCCGGCCCAGACCACGAGTCACTCACCCCGCCCCGGGAGCCAGGCTTTGGGGCCTTCTTGGAGTTTGGCTCCAGATTCCCCTCCTGAGGGTGACAAAGCAAGGAGAGGTGAGGCGCAGGCAGGCTGGGGATCCGGGTAGGGTGGGGATCTGGAGAACCGGACCTCACCTGCAGGAGGAGCTCCCGGCTCTGGGAGTAATTATCCTCCTCCGAGAAAATCTGGCAGAGGCTGGAAAAGACTCTGAGGCTGTCCCTGGAGAAGAGAGAAGAGTGGCCCTGAGGACAGGCCTGGCTCGGCCACCCCCACGTCCCTCAGCAGCTGGCTGGTCCTCCCCACCTGGCTGCTTCGCCCCAGGCTACCCGAAGCCTGTGGATGGGGCTGGACTGCAGGGCCGACACCACGGCATACACGGAGGAGAAGTTCCGCAGCAGCCGGCACTCCTGCGGGTCCACGAGGAAGGAAGCCAGGGTGAGGGCCGTCCACACCAGCGTCCCCAACAGGACGACGAGCCCCGCTCACCTCTGCCACACGGATCCACTTTTCCAGGAGCCGGGCCCTCTGTGGGGGTCGGAGTGGCCGTACGGTCACCTCCCCGGGCCCCTCTCCGGTTGAGATGGCACCCAGAACAGAGCTAACCACTGCCCCCGCCACCTTGTTGAACTGTGTGACGGTGGCTCGAACAGACGGGCAGAGATGGGAATGTCCCGGCCGGTCTCTGTGACCCCACAGGCCCCCCAAGCACTGAGAGGGGACCAGATTGAGAAACAGCTCCTGCGGGGCGGAGGGCAGAGGTTAAAGTTCACTGGTGAGCGCGTCTTCCCATATCAGGGATCTGCGGCTCTCAGGTGGCCAGGGAACCAGAGGGGCCCAGGGCTTGAAGGGTCACAACCAAAGGGAAGGGGAAGGGTCCAGACAGTGGTAGGGCAGGCTAGGAGCCAGAGCAAGAAGGGCTGGAAGCAAGGAAAGGGTCTGGATTTGAGGAGAAATTGGCAAAGGGGCAGGGATGGGGCACTGGGGTCAAAGGTCAGGGTCTCACCGCATCTAGCAGGGTCAGCTGCTCGGCCAAGTGGTCAGCGAGGAACACCAGGACATCCGTGGGGTCAGCAGGGGGGTCGCCGGGGAGGGCCAGGGGCTTAGGAAAGTCGGGGGCCTGGGAGTCCACCCGGGACCGGAGGTTGCGGATGAGGTCAGCACCGCACCCCCCAACACCCTCCCCTGCTGCGTACCCTGTCCGAAGCAAGAAGCTCTCAAGCCGGTCAAGCTGACCCTTGACCTCAGAGCCAAAATCCTCAGGGTGAGAGGCCAACCAGGTGGACAGGACAGAGATGGCAACCCTGGGAGAAGGGGAATCAGCCAAGGGTCAGCGGTCCAGCAGCAGCCTGGGCAGGGGGACTGTGATGGAGACACAGGGCTCACTCACCCTGTCGTCCTCTCTAGCTCATCGGTTGGAAGGGACTGCAGGGCCTCCAGCCTGCGGGGGGAGGACTAGTCTTGGCATCCATTTGCCCCAGGGGCTCCAGCAGTTGAAGGGGTGTTCAACTTTAGGGAGCCCAGACCCCTCCATAAGCCTTGGACCCTCGTGACCCTGACCTGTCAGCCACAAGCCCAAGCAGGGCAGGCGTGGAGGTAAAGGCCCGGTGGGTGGCCAGGAAGGCAGACGCGAAGGTCATGTCGGCCTCTGGCATCCGGGGGTCCAGCAGGTATCTGACCAGGGCCACCAAGGTGCCACCTCGGAGCCGTCTGGAGGAGCGTGGGGGAGGTGTGGGGGCCTGGAGGACACAAAGGCAATCACTGACCTTCTCTTCAACCTGGCCCCTGGTGTCTGGGGACAATCCCGGACCAAGGAGCTGATCCCGGCTCCTGCTGAGAAGCAGAGGTGACAAAGGACTTGGCCCGTCACACAGGAGTCCTGGACTCCAGGCCTCCAACCCAGAAAGTCAGTCAGAGGAAAGGAGCCTGAGGGGTCTGAGGCCAGAAGCCGCTGGGTGTGGTGTTGCACACGAGTAATCCCAGCACTCAGGAGGCTGAGGCAGGAGGATCGCCATGAGTTTAAGGCCAGGCGGAACTAAATAAGGAGACCCTGTCTCAGAAAAAGAAAACAAAACTAAAAACCCCACAGGCGAGAAGCCTAAGTCATGACCTCACCGTAGGATCACGAGGCCGATATTGGCGGCTTGTGACAGTAAAGATGGCACCATCCTCCTCCTCATCCCAGGCAGACACAGAAGCCTGGACAAGCACGGAAGGGGAAGTCAGACGGTCCCGCCACCCCTACTGTCCCCAAGCCTCCCGCCCCAGGCCCTGCTCCTCCCTCTGCACCCCTCACCTGGGATAACAGGGGACAGTACCAGCGAGTGCGAGGGGTGGGGGGGGCCGGTGACCCCAGGTCTCCCCCTCTGGGGCCCAGACAGCCCCCCCCAAGGCGCCTCAAGGCCCGCTGAAGTAGAGAGGGCTGCGGTGGGAGGTTGGGCGGAGTGGAGAAACCCTGGCCCTGGAGACCCCCGAAGCCCCTTTCCCCCAGAGCTGAGCCAAGCGCAGGAGCGGGGCGCAGACCGGGAAGCGACAGAGGCGCAGCGAGGCGGAGACCTCGAGCAGCCGAAAGCTCGGGCTCAGGCAAAGGCGCACGCCCCGCCCCGCCCGCCCCGCGCCGGCCGGCCCGGAGGGCTGCCTCTTCCCTCAGGTGCCCTTTCCCCAGGCCCCCAGGGGCGAGGCCGCCACTGTCAGCCCCGAGGTCCCCCCCCACGGGCCGCAGCTCCAATTCCAGCACAGGAAGGGGAAGTGGGGTGATGGGGGGTACGACTCAGAGTCACGTGGCCCCGGCCGCGGCCCCTCCCCACCGAGCCCGAAAAACCAGCCGGGCCAGTCACCCTGCCCTCGCCCTGCCTAGATCCAAGACTTCAGGGCCCCTGGGCGTCAAATCTAACTCCCGGCCCCTCCTGAGCTCCCAAAGCGCGCTCCCGGCCACTACCATTCGTCCCCAAGGAAGGCAAGGGGGATGCGCTACCCAGCCTCGGTGGTCCCTCCGGCCGCAGCGGGGCTCCCGGCGCTCTACCTGGCGCCGGGGCTGGGGAGGCGCGGGTGGGAGGGGTCACGAAATCTGAGTTTCCCTCCCCAGTCCCGGCGGCGGCGGCGCCGGTTTCCGTGGAAACAAACCCCTCCCCGCCAAACAAAAGCCGGAGGGCGCGGGGCCGGGACCCGGCCGCCCAGACGGAAGCGGGCGCGCAGGCCGCGGCCCC